GCTTCTTGCTACTTGTAGTAATGCCAGGAGCTACTAGTAGCTTCTTGTTATTGTTACTAGTAGTGATGGCCTCCAACCTACTTGCGATGGCCTACAACAAAATAGCAATGGCCTCTCCGATTCAGCAAACGACAAAGCTCTGTTTTTCGCGACAGCTTTTGGCCTAGGACAAATCCGTTGCAAAGCGACCACAATGTACAGGTCGTGGAGATGGTAGAGTTGCAACCGACCTAGAGGCGCTTTGATGGAGAAAAAGTCTTTGATTATGGTCTTGCTATTGGGTAATCAGAGAAAGAGATGTTGAATCGAACATACTCTCAAGATTTGGCCGCCATTTCTTAGTCTGGCTACTGATCGTGCCTTTTGCAGCTCAAAGAAGATGGAAGAGAAGTGAAAGCCTGTGAGCACCAACAAGCTCTATGTTAGGGTATACAAAGTGAACGGAGAAACTGAGCTGAATTTGGGCTGAGTAGCTGCATGTAACCTTGTGTAGCCTTGCACGATTTGTGACCCGGCTCCAAACAGCTGCGTTGGCTTTGAATATTGGAAGCAACGATGTGCAATGAGAAAACAGCCAAGACGACACATGGAGCAGGAAGTGAGCAACCAAGACTCACAGGAGCCAAACCAAGTGCTGATGACCTAAGCACCTGCGTGGGCCGGACATGGGCCGGGCATGGGTTTGAATTCCCATGGCAAACCCTTTCGATGCGTTTGGGTACACAGTGAACAAGCTGAAGGCGCACGAGAGTGGAGAATCTAGTAGCGATGGCCTCCAAGCTACGTGCGATGGCCGCCAACCTAGTAGCGTCCTCTTGTTACTAGTAGTAAGCCCAGGAGCGCCCCTAGTCAGTAGCGTCCTTGCTCCGTTCGTAGCGATGCCCTTTGTTACTAGAAGCGATGGCCTCCAACCTATTTGTCACGTTTGTAGATTTGCTTCTTGTTTTGCTTTCAGTCCGCATTCCTTTTGTTTGTCAGGTAGATGACAAAGGCCTCGTACTTGTCCTTTGCAAGCTTACAGTTCGGCTGAAGGTTTACAACGATTTGCCTCGTTGAAAGGAAGGAAGGTATTCCATTTTCCGTCGAAATCGTACTTTAATTCAATTTCATCATTGCTACAAGGAATGGCTTGAAGGCATAGGCGTGTCAGAGAAAACATGTGTTTGGCCCAGGGCACGGACCGCAGAGGTGAAACAATACACCTGAGTGGTAGTAGTTGTGGTGCAGCAGCTGGCTTTGCTGGTGTGTTTGAGTGCGACGACCTGCGTGGTTTGTGGGAAACACCATATCATGATGTGTGATATCTAGGCCCGGTAATGGTCGCTACTCTTCAAGGAACACATCCATAAGATCCCACAAGCGGCTGACAACGAAAAGACTTGCACCCTCTCAGGTGTGGGGCACAAACGTGAACCCTGAGCCGTCCTGATTCTTTTGTGCACCCCCGATTCATACGTGCCCCTCCAGGTAGGCCCTTTTTGGTTCAACCTTTTATTTTGAGTAGACGAGCAGGTCGATACGAGCGACATGGCCCAAGCAACTTTTGGAATTGCCAAAATGGCTGTACATCAATGGAGGCACCATAGGAATGCATCCTAAGTGGACATGTGGATCAACAAACGGTATCCCAAAGCAACCGCTTACTGTTACTGCATCAAGAAAGTTTGCTGAGATGTGTGTCTTCGGTATTCTTCGGTGTTTTAGCTGGCCTTTCCTGCGCCTTTGTGGTCGTTGGTCATTTGATCCTCGGTCCCACCGCCTTTCATAAAATGCTTTTTGGGGACCATACCGCGTCTAATTCCACCCTGCCATGCAAATGTTCAAGATGGAGGCAGCCTTGCGCACGTGCGCACGTGCGACAGCCTTGCGCACGCGTGCTAAGGCTAACTTGACATGGACCCTTTCTGAATACTAAGAACATTTGGCTTTAGTCACTGGAAGCAGAGCACCGACCAGTGGAAACATGCGGAAACTGCTCAGATGTCGCATCGGACAAGTACATCGGATGTTGGTCTGACAAAGCTGTAAATCTGCCAGCAGAAAGCTATGGAGGTGTTGGGCAGCATCACAAAGCTTTGTCAAAAATATAGGCCAACCTAAATCCTGGCCTCAACAAACAGCAGAACTGCTTAAGGGATTTTAAAATTCCAGTGCAGGAAGGTGATTGTTGGATTTCCTTTGCGTATATATTTGTTTTGAGATCTTTGTATTGGTAATTCTCAATGTCCTGGTTCGTGCTCTTTTCAAGACAGTGATCAGGATGTCGCACATCTGAGCAAGTGGCACGGGGAGAACCCTTGCAGCTTGGTTGGATTGAGTAGCAACCCTGCTTTTGGCAGCTGGTGTTCATCGTGTAGTGTATTAATGGAGTTGTAGTGGAGTTGTTGGCTTTTGGAATCCCAGGCTGCATGTAGACAACGCAGAGTTTAGGCTATCAGCTCTTATTCCATTTCCGCCAGCTTAAAAGATAAGACCAACTCATGTTTGATCTCATTGTTCTCCACAAGAAAGGGAACACAGCTCACTTGAGAAGATCTTCAATTCCAGGGAAGCTATGCAAAGAAGCAGACATGTCACTATTGACCTACTTGCACTGGTCACATTCGTGCCATGTCGAATGCCCAGAAAATGGATGTGGATGGCTTGATGAAGAACGAGGACTTCAGCCCTCAGTTGTTAAAGATCTACTATGAGAAGTTCTTCCCATTCTTGCAGATGTTCAGATGGCTCAGCTATCGCAATGATCCCAAGAGTTCCAGTCCTGGAACGCAGAAGGATTTCTTTCAGCGACGGGAATTCACCTTTGTCCTTCAGGGTGACATCTTTTGCCGTTATCAGTGCTTCAAAGACATGGAAGAATACCGTGCAAAGGTCTTAGAGAGGCAGCCGATCAGGATGGAGATTGGAGCTGTTTTCTCTCATGCCCCTTCCAAGCACCATGTGCTGCCAAAGGATGTCTACAAACCTTTGGAGCGTGAGCTGGTCTTCGATATCGACATGGATGACTACGATGATATCCGAACCTGCTGCACAGGCTCCAAGCTGTGTTTGAAGTGCTGGACCTTCATGAAGGTGGCAATTCAGGTCTTAAAGCGCACTTTGGAGGAGGACTTTGGCTTCCAACACATCCTCTTTGTCTACTCCGGACGTCGTGGTGTCCATTGCTGGGTCTGTGACTCTGAGGCCCGAAAGCTGAGTAATGAGCAACGTTCTGCGGTGGCGGAGTATTTGACGATGGTCTCTAGTGGTGCAAACAAGTGTCGTGCAGATCTCAAGATGAATGGCTGTGAAGAACTTCACCCATCAGTGGATGAGGCCTACAAGATTTGCAAGAAGTGGTTTGAAGATCCCAACGGGATTTTGGCCAATCAAGACATCTTGAAGAACGGGAATCATTTGACCAACATCCTGGAGCCTTTCAGTGCTGACGAGAAAGACAAGATCAAGAAATTCATGCAGGAGAACTCTGATGCCACATCTTTGCAGATTTGGAAGAAGCTTCAGGACTTGGTTCGTTTGCGAGAGGTGAACGAGGCGACCTTCAAGCAGCGCATGGAAAACAAGGTCTTGCTGAAAGATGTGGCAATTCAGTACACCTATCCTCGGCTGGATGTGAATGTGAGCAAACAAATGAACCATCTCTTGAAGTCACCTTTTGTAGTTCATCCCAAGACTGGGCGAGTTTGCGTGCCAATTGACCCAGAGAATGTGAACGACTTCGACCCGGCCAAGGTTCCTACGATCGGCCAACTGGTGGAGGAAATGCACGATGCCAATGCACAACACACATCCTTAAAGCCATATCTACACTACTTTGAGACCAAGTTTCTGCAAGAACTGGAGAAAACTGCAACAGAAGAGCTTCGTCAGAGGAGTGGAGTAAGTCCAGGAGTCTTGATGGACTTCTGAGGAGAGGAAGGTCCTTGCAGTCGCTCTGGGCAGGTCAGTTCGAAGGATTTGAGGGGATTCAGTGCAATCACTTGGCACTGGTTTCTGCGGGTATCACTGAGCTGGGGAGGCTTAGTGCATGGAGACATTGGGACAAAACCTATGTCCCAGACGTCCTGCGAACAGATTAAACGGCCAGCTGCTCCCAAAAAGGCAAACGACAAACCAGCTTCCAACTTAACTTTGATTCACTCTTTGCATCAGCTTACAAGAGCTAATTAGGATTGCAAGAGACAGCGCCCCTAGGCTGGTTCTTCCTTTGCATCGCTGTTGGACTGCAAGCATCGTGGATACAGAGTGTCCACAAGTGGCACAGGCATGGATGCTGTATTTGCGTCAAGAGGATGGGTGAGGAAGGGGGCTGGGAAGAGGGTCGCAAAGCAGCCGCAAGACATCCTGAGAGGCTTTGGCAAAAGCAGCCGCAAGACATCCTGACTCAGATTTACAAGCAGCGCGCACGAAGATCGCGCTACATTTGATTTGGGAAAGCCGGTCTGACACTCAGAAGTGAAAGCTGAAACATCTTGAGCGTCGAACGTAAGAGTTTTTGTATCCTCTTGTGTTGGACTAGATGATCGGATGGGAAGGCTACTAGGTTGGAGGCCATCGCTCCAAGGGTGGCCATCGCTACTGGAAGGCTTCACAGATTTCTTGAGGCAGCTTCAAGTGGGCCCGGAGGTGGCCAAAGCTTCCACACAGGACTACTTGTAGTCACTAGTCTCTCGACTGTGACAAGCCTAGAGGCCGAGAGACGTTTGGCACACCTGAGTTCTGAGTCTTCCAAGGTTTGCAACACCGCCTATGCAAAAAAGCTGCTAGTAGGTTGGGGGCCATCGCTTCTAGCTTGGAGGCCTATTAGAAACAAAGAAAAAGGAACAGGAAGAAAGGTCTACTAGTAGCTTCTTGCTACTGGTAGTAATCGCCTCCAACCTACTAGCGATGGTCTCCACCTAGTAGCTTCTTGCTACTAGTAGTATTTGCCTCCACCTACTAGCGATGGCCTCCACCTAGTAGCTTCTTGTTACTAGTAGT